TGGTTAGTCTATTGACATTGGTCTTCAAATTGGGCAGCCCAGAACGCTGGAGCTGCCTACAAATGTTATTACGGAACCTGATAAGATCTTTGGTTAGGCTGTCAAGGTTCAGAGTATGACTCACCTGTCTGGATGCTGGTACGTGTTGCTCCCTGGCACGGGATATCACCTCTTCGATGGTTTGCAGACACCGATCGATTTCTTCGAACGACTCCGGTAGGACGTCGTAGTCAATTGCTGTGTCCATCCAGCGCTGAATGCCGAGAAAAATGAAAATGCTTGCTTTTATAGTATTTGCTCTGCTACTGATTAAGCCGTCAACCAATCGTAATCATTCAATTTTCGGAGGACACAAACAGATGTGAATAAACAGTAAGTTTAATTTTATTTGTTATTTTATATTTTATTATTGTTTATATTTTTATGATTACACAGCATCACTTTCCTACAAAAGGTAGCCAACCTCAGGCTTAAAATAGACAGCAAGCTGATTTTCAGGGCGCTTATTGATAAAATTTTTATAAGGATTATCATCTTGATAAGATAACTGTATCTGATTATCAACGAAAAGTCCATCCCGTCCCTGAAAAATATGGTTGCTGTCTACAAACAAATAATACTACCTGTAGTTGAGTACAGTATGAAAATCTGTGCGAGTTGAGTTAATGCCAAACCAAAAAATATTTGCTTTTCATAAAAAACGGTTAAAAAGATCAAGTAATTTTGGGAAAAACCCAAACAAGTTTTGAAAACTTAAATACCAAAAAATTACCCTCTTCAATATTTTTATAAAAAATTTTTAACAAGAATGTTAAAAAAAATACATTATTGTTGCGGGTTTTGATGAACATTTTTTTTTGTAAATTTTAGCACAGAATTTAAAAGTCTATGATTTTTTTTTAGCATAAAATTACAAAAAAAAAATTGAATCAAATTGATCTAAAATTTTACCGTAAGTTGATGTTCTAGATTGCTGATAATTTTTAAGTGTCCAACTTGATATATAAAAAAAATGCGAATTTCATAAGCATTTATACGAAAAATGTTCAAAAATATTGAAGAGGGTCATATTTTGATATTTAAGATTAAACCCCTTTTTTGGAATTTTTAATGAAAAGCGTGTGTCTCAGTTGCCATTTTGATTGGAAGGGATTTTAGTGTTATGATTTATTGAAAAATATCGAATATGCCATTTTGAACTCAATTGCTCCTGGCTGAAGTCAGATCCTTATAGTACGTTAAGACTATGGCTGGTATAACGTAATATAGGCTGTCTTGCAATAATAACTTATACGTCAAATTTTCACCGGAAATCATAGGTATGACTTTGGATTTCAAGACAGCCTATATTACAGGATATCAGCTATAGGCTGAACGTACTGTTAGGAATCTAGCACGTTAAGATACAGAGAGATATCGTGGTTTGCAGATGAAGTTTAACTGTGTTATATTTTGTAGTAAGAATACTGACCATAAATGGTATCTTTATTACCAAAAACCATGTGCCAATATATCCAGATAAAAGAATACCGACTAAAACTCCATCCGCAAAGAACGGTACAACGGTATTTGCAGATAGGTAGTCTATTCTACATTTAAAATACTCCTTAGTAAACAGTTTATTAGTTTTTAGGGAAAAGATACAGAGAAGCTGAAACACAGCTGATCAACAGGACATGAAAATGAGCATGAGCAATGTTCAACAACAACAAAATCACGTGACCGGTGGGATTTAAACCCACAAATCTCATTCATTTAACGGGCACATTATCAATTATATTTCGGATACGCGCAATATTTGGCTAATGACGTGTCCGCCATCAACTCATCCCTGGATACCAGATCTAATTCAGGAACGGTCCCCATTTTCATTTCCTATTGATCATGTGCAGACTATGGCTTATATCATGTAAAATAGGCTATCTTACAATGAGCACTCATACATCTAGTTTTCACTAGAAATCCTATGTATGAGTGCTCATTGCAAGATAGCTTATATTACATGATATCAGCTGTAGTCTGAACGTACTATTAGACAACACTTCGCCTCAACGCGTCAGATCTGGATCCAATGTGTGTGGCCCTTGATACTGACTATCACGCGTTTCAGATTAACATTGTCAATAGGAAATGAGAGTGAGAGTGGGGATCGTCCAAATCCCACCGGTTGCCGTTATTTCTCAGTCTCATGCCCTGCTGATCATGTGTATACGCTTCTCAGTATGTGTTAAGTATCCTAGGCATTTTCAGTGCTGCAAAAGGCCAAGGGACCTTCCATCCTGGGTGGCTGCTTACGTTAGCTTTAATCTGAGACCAGGTCAAATTCCTATCGACGTGTTTGATTTCCATGTTGAGAATACCCCTGGGTCTGCCTCTGCTGCGGTGTCCTGCCGGGTTCCAATCCATCGCTTGCTTGCAGATTTCGTATCCACCCCTGACCGTGGCCAACACACCTCCACCTTATTCTTGAATTTCAGTTGATATCTGCTCCTGATGACATCGAGCAGTGCGCAGTAGGCGCTTCCAGCGAATGGTTGGATATGCTTTCGCAGTCCTTAGATTTGGTGTGTTTTCCTAATGGTTTCAACCAAAGCAGTAAAGTATCCGTTTTTACGATTAAACTAGTTTTATTGAAAGGTGCCAATCAGCTAATGTATAATATTGTAATTAATTGTGAAAAATTCGGTAACATAGGTAGGGTCGCCTAGTTAAGTTGCCGTCACGTCGTGCTTATGCTTTGGCCGGTTTTTGTTTCGGTGCTCCGCCTCCGGTCGCAGAAGTATTGTATACTGCTAACTGCTAGCCTTCCGGACAATATCCGAGAGGCAAAGAAAGAGTTGCAGGTTATCTTCGCGTGTTTTATGTCTCGTTTTCAGTGTTGAGTGCTGCATTTGATTCGGTGCAAGAGAATGTTTCTGCACATATTATTAAACTCGGGTTTGTTTCGCGTTTCAAAAAAACTTTTGGTATTTTTGGGTGGGATAATGCCATTAAAGAGAGGTTTTTTTTATTGTTAACCACAAGTGAACAACAAGGATTTTGTCTATACCGGAGTTTGGTGAGCTCGTTCTTATTAAGAAAAGTATATTTCGTTCTATTACTAAATGCGTGCCAGATTTAGAAATACCGTGTTTCGAGATCTGGAAATGTGTTGACATTATCCATTTGAAATCTATAGTATTTACAGGCGGGGCCTATGAGAAAGTGACCTCGGAATGTGCTTGATTCTCCAGACATTCTGAAATGGGTTGCTGGATCTACAATACAACTGTCACCATATAGCCCCTGGACTAAAGCTGCTTGCAATTATCATCAACGACCCAGTAACGTGATCTACCAGCGTTACTGGTATAAGATCTACCACATCGAATTCTGGCCTTAAGCTCTTCTTGTTGACGGTTATGTATGAGCCTTGGTTTTGGAATTGGAAACATTTGTTTTTGTCGCTATGAATACCTATTTTGATTGGTGGAAACAAATACATAATTACTTTTACATAGTAATGAGGTACTACGGAATGCACTAAACAAAGGACACGGACATATCACAAAAGATGCATGCATTGGTGCAGTGATTAAGACCCGAACACCGAGGCCACCAGGCACGAATCATGTTCCGCAGACACCGGTTGATATGTAACCGAGTGTTCTCCACTGGTACGCAGCATGTTTCACCGGCATATGAGTGCACAGATTTGACATACAAGTAAAAATATCTTATTTTTTGGGTGTACATATAATTATCTGGTTTGATCTCTAAATATTTCATTACCTCGCAAAAACAGCCCTAACCTTCTTAAATCATATACATATGTCGCTCTTGGTGCCGCAATCTGAAGCTAGCTAGCTGCCAAAAAACTATAAATAATTCTAGGTACCGTAATCCGGGGGGCAAATTGATCACATTTTAAGGTAAATTAAATTTCTATATTAAACGAAATTGACAAACTAATGGTATTAAAATTAGAAGCTATCATTCAGCAGGATTGCTTATCATTTTGAGTATTATGTTTATTTTTAGAACATTTTTGAAATTTAGAATTTGAAAATATCGATATGGAATGATATTGATCAACCCCTCAAATGACTTTTGAGTAAATCATTTAAATCTTGTTTTTATTAAATTTTAGTTCTTTGAATCCGAATCAGATGCTAACATCCTTATGCAAAGTGTATGTTCAGCAGAAATGACAAAAAAAAGAGTTATTAACATACGCAGTTGCACCTAAATGTTGGCAATTTCTTTAAAAATTTCTGAAAATTTAATTTATTTCTCAATGTTGAAAAAACAAATTATTGATTCATTGACTCTCAGTTTATTTAAATATATCACTTTCAAGTGAATGACAGCAACCCTAGCAACCCTATGATAGTTTGATTGAATGTTGATATTGAATACTATTGAATGTTACTTAAATGAAATAACAATTTATGTTGTCAAATCTACTTTATTATTATGAGAAGCTCGTCAAAGCAATCGTTAGAATCTGTATTATCTGTAAACAAACCTTGTGAGGCCATTTTCTCGCGAATCAAAACCTACATTCTAAAACACAATCGGGTAGAGGAGAATTTCCCCTACCTGTTACTTTTGTTGGTTTGCGTTGGCGGACTTCGTTTGTTTACAAAATGGAGTTGGAACCTTTTCAAACAATAGTCTTGATTTTAAACTAAATATGACTCTAAGGGGGCAACTAGTTTTCAAACGAAAAATTTATATATAAAAGATCTAAATCCAAAGATGAACAACCATCGAGCTATAAATCATTTAAAATGAAACATCATATACAACACCTCAATCAAAATCAAAACTCATTTTACTACTAATGACGAAAATGAGAGTGACAATAAAGATCAATCATCAAATATCGATGTAACCACGATAGAACTCGTGCGATTTGACCGAACCGCAATACACACATCAATAGTTTTGCCAGATAATTGATTTTGCAGTGTCAAACCATTCTCTAATTAAATTACACCCTCTGTTTCGCTTCGCAGGAGTTGTTTAGTAGGACCACAGCTGGAGATAAAAATCTGTACACTAGGAACTGTGATAAACCGCATTGCATATCCTGCAGACTACTGTCACCTTGAGGGCGCAGGAAGACAATCACAACCGATGCCAATCCGGTGGATGGCATGGGAAAGCGTACTAATGGTAAGTGACCAATAGATAAGGATGAACTGGGGACGCTCAATCTTGGACAACACCATACGCCTGCTAATTAATTGAATTTTCACCACGCACACAGGGTAAATTTACATCAAAGTCCGACGTGTGGTCGTTTGCCGTGACGCTGTGGGAAATCCTCACGTTCGCCCGGGAGCAACCCTTCGAGAATCTGAGCGACGAAAAGGTGATCGAGAACCTCGGACACATGTACCAGGACAACAAGAAACACGTAAGGATTTTAATTTGATTTTAATTACTTTCACTGTGGTGCCCTCTACGTTGTCTGACTGATGACTTCATCCGTTACCAGTCGCATCAATAACATGCCATCCAATTTGACGGTTCTATTGAACTCAATCGAGGGCACCCAGACCCAGGAATCAGAGAGGGGGACATTGAGAAAGCTGAGAAAGTGACACCCGGCACATATAAAACCAATTAATTATTCAATCGAACGGAAACGAGCAATGCACTGGAGTATCTCCGATGCTTGCGGTTAAAGTCAAAAGCCACAAATGTCGTTATAATTTGCATATATGATATTGCACTGTTATCCTGAATTCTGACCATACACCATCATCAACCAGTGCTTCTGGAAACAATTTCCATGCCACTGCACAAGTTTAACCTCTGCCATAGGCGGCGGTGGTGATGGGTTCTAGTGGCAAATCCTCTCTCGGTCACATATTATTAGTGCTGATAATAATTTATTAACGAGATTGACCGATCCCTTGGCGACGATGATTCGCATCCATTAGGCAAACTGGATGACACTTTTAATATGAACCAATTTGACTTATTCCGTGCCATGAAGGCGAAGCGGCAACGATTCCAGATACATTAAAGTAGGTTGTGGCATAAATTTACACAAAATCATTTTTAGGGGAGCGACGATCAAAATGAAAATTAAAACTGACATAAAATCATTATTTCGAAAAATTTCAAATGTTTTTCAAAGTCAGCGATTACCCGGATTATAGTCAATGAATACGACGGTGCGACGTTTTTCAAACAATCTAATGGACGTGTGGCCTGAAGAAATGTTACCGCGCAAATGTTTTCTGTGACATAGATTTCTTTGAAATTATTATTTGAGGTTGAATACCCGAGCAGGAACAAATATCTCGATACATAAATTTGGTATGTCTTATGTGATGCTGGTCAATACCAAATTTTGGTTTCAGATCAGAATTAGGTATTCACTATTTATTTTCTCCTGCTCGGGTAGTACTCATCTCTCAGGTAAAAAAATTACATAGTGTACAAATGTTAACAAGCTTATCTACTATTTGCTGTTTGTTCTTTGTTTAAGACCAAAAAAAATTGTCTTTGATAAGGGTAGAGTTATTATTTTGGTCAAATTTAAATCACAATCACAAATTAATTCTTAATTACTAGAAATGTTTTTGAGAGTAAGGTTCAAACATTGGTTGTACGAATTTTCACAAACTTAAAGTGTCCAACTGGAAAATTTCACAAAATATGGAATTTTTTAAAAGCTTCATAATGAAAAGTATTCAGACAAATATTGAAAAGGCACTGACAAAATATGCAGTAAAATCATAAAGTAAAACAGCAATTTCACTAAGAATGTTGATAAAACGGCATAACTGTGTGGGATTTCAAAATAGATGAAAATGTTTTTTCGTGGAATTGACCAGTAGAGTTGGGTGAACCCCTGAAACCACATTTTTTTTTTCCATTTTCTAGGATTCAACTCCATCGGCCAAGAGCCATAAGTCACATATTAAATTGTATTTTAAGTTAAATGACAGTCAAATTCCGCTCATTTCATGCAGTCAACTTTCGCTCCTTCTCTCTCTTACTCGATGTCTCACTAACTCAATATTCATAACTGAAAATCCAGGATACTTCGACGACTTCTTCCATGCATACATATTTCCTAAATTTACCTCCGTAGCTCGATATCCTCCTTTATTCGAAGACTCATTTGATATCAAGTACGGGAGAGTTTTAATCAATTTGTCTGTCAATTAAATTGTATGAAAAATATCGAAACAGAAATTGTTTGTTCAAGATTCTTCGATTGCAAAATGACTGAAGTAGTTTAAAAATGTAATAAAATGTCTGTACTTCCTATAAATCCCTGGTGCGAGAGGCTTCCTTTAGGAGCTTCTTCTAACTAACTCCAGAAGTTTATTTTTAATCCATTTGAAAGAGTTATCTGACTTATCATAGCAGTTTCTTTTGACTTCCTTTGCAAATGTCTGCTGACATTTTTTTGGGCTTATCCCAGGAAGGTTCTTCCAATTTTTCCTAAAACTTAATTACATCTTTCTACCGAAGCTATTTCCAGTTTTATTTAAATGTTTATCACGACTTCCACTGGAATATTCTTCCAATATCTCCTGGAATTTATTTAGTTGCTTCAACCGCATCTAACTGTGTTATTTAAATGAGGGATGCGATAAAGAAAAGCCTCATTGCGTAGACCTATCATCAGTCCCACTCAAAGAGGTGAAAAAAAACAATTTTTTTTCCATTACATGTACATAATACAAATAAAAATAGATTGCACACTTAATACTAAATACAAGCAAAAAAAAGTCAAATCAGTAAAAACAAATTCATCCTGTGGCTGGCGTCTGCATTTCCCAAAACGGAATTTGCTCGCAGTACAGGTGCAGTTTGTTACTGATACAGCTTCTAACAATCTCTGTTAGAATATCGATGCAGATATATCAAAAAAGGTCATATTCCAGTGGTTTCATTTCCGATGTGTCCTAAAACGGCGTTGCAGATTGTCAACTGAAGAATGGAAATCTAATTGTCCAAAGACTTTGTTGAACCGAGTATACATAAACCGGATCGGGTTATGTTAGCTATAACGACTATTAAGATTGGCCAAATGCAGGAAGTTACGCCTCTCAAAGGCCGTTGCGGTACATACAAATTCAATTCGGCGAGAATAACTGGGGTGTCAATTTCATTAGTTAACACATTTGAAACGAAGACAGCTTGTATGTTGAATCTTCTTTTCTCCAGGGTATCAATCCCTAGCCCACAATCCCACACAGGTATTCTTTTGGCATCAAAATATAATTGTTTGTTATTTACAAACTATTTTGCATGCATATTTTTGGTGCCGGAGAGCTATTCGCACAAACTTGTTCTGCACAGCTTCGAAGCGGTCAATCCAGTTCTTATTATACGGACACCATACCAGCACTGATGATTCAAAAATAGATCGCACTAGGGCACAATAGAGAGATTTCAAGCACATTGGATCACGAAATCCGTCAGCAAGTTTAAACATGAAACCAAGCTGTTTGTTCGCTTTCGAAATAACATCCTCATAATGTGGTCGGAAGTTGACCTCACGGTCAAATATTACACCAAGATCCCTAACCAGATCAACGCGTTCAAGGGTTTATGCACATATGCTGTAGTTGAAATTGATCGGATGAAGCTTCCCGAGCAGGAGAAAATACCTTATGGATACCAAATTCAGGTATGAAAATAGCATAACTGGAAACCTAAATATAGTATTGAAGAGGCTGACATAAGAGGTAAACTACCAAAAATAATACCTCAAAAATGTTCTACGAATAACGAACTAATAATAAATTTACTTATTATAATAACTGACGGATAAAAGACGCTTTTTATGCCATAATACCATAACTTGCTATTTGAAAGGTCTTCTAATACCAATACAATAACTCTTTGAGGTGTTATTGTCTAAAAACTGAAAGATCACATTTTGTTATTTTGATATTTATTTGATATTTTATAAAATATTTCGATAACTGAATAATATCAAAACAAAGTTTTATACCACAAGCATACCAAAATAAGGTATCATACCACATTAAGATATTCATATGTTATCGGTTAGCTATCGGTTCCTGCTCGGGTTTCTACTGAATGAAGCTACATTTTCGAAGCTCTAAAATGAACTCGAGATTTGTTTCGTTCATACAACATGTTCAACGCATCATTTCTATAACGCCTAGCTAGACTATCAGCACAAAACAAAAATGAAAAAGAAGCACGATTAGAACGAAAGGCTGGCTGTGGATCTTCTCGTCGTTACTTTGCTCGTCACTTTCAATGAAAGTAACGTCGATTATCGAGATGAAACGAAACCTCCTTATGGTTTTCAATCCCTTTCACCGAAACTTTATAACCCGTCATTCAATTTGTTTAATATGCGTCATGTTACGTTTTCGTTACTTGTTTTTAGATAAATATGTGAATGGATGATAAATTAAACATATTACATGTAATCTTCAAGAGTTTTCACAGAACATTTTTTTTTAGAGTGACTTTCAGCCAGTGGCAATGTGAAAAATGTTTTAAATTAATATTGTAATTTTCCGTCTTATCTAAGTCGTAATGGACGTAACGTCGGCCTAAATGCCCCTAATTTGGGCCCATACATAAATTCAGCAGTCAACTAGATTTCAATAGTGACAAAAAATATACATTAGTACCATCCCAATGACGCGTTCATCTAGATAAAATTGATAAATATCAGATTTTTAACTATGGGCCCAATCTTAGATCCATAGGCCAACATTAAAGCTATTTCCCCTACGTCATGAAACCTCTGTTGATGTGTTTCATGAAAGACGATTCTATCAAACTCGAACGCTCTTTCACTCGTCTGCTTCACCGAAGCTTAAAAGAAAAACCAATGAAGCGGCGGGAGAAAGAGAGACAAGCGATTGAAAATTTGTTCGTAGACGCAGACTGAGGTTCTAGAATGCTGCAAAGCGGTTCGACTTCAACAGAAAAAGAAAGCTAGCAGTCTCTTCGTCGCATCGATTTTGTCGATTGAAGCTGATATTGTGACGCCCTGATAAAGAGAAAAAGAGCGGGCCAGTATTACTCCCTTGCGGTACGCCAGAAGTAATGAGAAATGCCTATAAGTGAGACGAACTGATCCTTACTCGCACAGATCTTACAGATAGGTATGAACTAAATCAGCTAACAAGGGCTGAAAATACTCCCAGTTTTTCGAGTTTAAGCAGTAGGATAGCATGATTCACACGGTCGAATGCAGCCTTGAAGGCCGTGTATACGGCGTCTATTTGCGAACCAACGTTGAACCAGTTGAAATGTAACTCTTGCAAGCATCAAAGAGAACATTTTTAACTATAATCTCGAAACTTTTGAGCAAGCGCTCAAAGAAGGGATCCATGGTAGTTAACAACCTTGCATTTGTTTCCCTTTTTATGAACCGGAGACAGAAACGCTGTTTTC